AATTTATCATTTATGATTACCATTATTTATTTATTTATTATTTGGGGATGTTATTTATTGGAAAAAATTTTATATTCAGATAGTAGAAGTGGACCTGCTCTTCAATAGATCTCGTGGGACTCCTTGAGACAAGAAGTATTGTGTTGCTTCAATTACAGTGGATTAATGTAAATACTTAAACATTCTGTTTTTGTTCTAGAATTGCTCCACGAATCATATAGGCAGGATCCTCAGTTAAATTATTTTGGTTTTTATATATTGTATCAAAGTATAACTCCAAATGCTACTTGGATGTGCTTTTTGACAGGTTGTAGAGATTACAGGAAGTCCAACTTACAGCAGAGCATCTGTCAAAATTTCTATGGCTAGCTTAAGTATTTTATTCCTATTAATAATTACTTTATATAAATGATGACTGTTTAACAAAATTTAAATTAATATGTTAGACTTGTTGAGGGTTTTAGGCTTATGGAATATGAGCTTTCTTATATTCTAGCCGATCACACTTCAGAAGTTCGAGGTGTGGCACTAACTGTCACACATATTGGAAATATTAAGCTTTTTGATGAAATTAAACTAAATAATGTTCTTTATACTCAAGGAATATGTTATGATCTTATCTCTATATCATGTTTAACATATCAGCAACAATGTGTAGTGGCTTTCTTTCCTAATGTTTGTGTCCTATAGAGCCTCTCCAATGGCAGCATGAGGGTGATTGGTAGAATAAATTTTGGATTATATGTTTTGAATGAAAGTTCAGTTTCATCTAATGTTTCTGTTCATAATCTAGCTGTTGATAACACCATATGGCACTTAAGATTAGGACACCCTTCAAACTCTGTTCTTAGACATGTTACTTCTTTAAAGAATATTTTGTCTCCTATTCATGCTTCTAAATGTGATGTTTATTTTAAGGCTAAGCAAACGCGCTGCCTTTTCCTAATAGTGAAATAAAGACTATAACTTCTTTTGAATTATTGCATATTGGCATTTAAGGTTCTTATAGGGAAGCCATTCATCAAGGATATAGGTATTTTTTGACCATTGTGGATGATTGCTCACGTGTGACATGGATTTATTTGTTAAATAGTAAACATGATACTTTTATCATCTAAAATTTTTTTCAATTTTATAAGAAACCAATTTCACACTAAAATTAAATGTGTCTGCAGTGACAATGGCACTGAGTTCTTAAATCATGATATTTCAAGTTATTTTTTGGAAAATGGAATAATTCATGAAACTACTTGCGTTCACACCCCACAACAAAATAGGATTGTTGACAAGAAACACAGACACATTCTAGATGTTTCTAAGAGTCTTATTTTGCAAGCTAATATTACGACAAAATTTTAGGGGGAAGCTGTTAGGACTACTATATTTTTTATAAATTGGATCCCTTCTAAAGTTTTGAACTATAAAACTCCCTATGAGATATTATATAACAAACAACTTGACTTGTCTAATTTAAAGGTGTTTGCTGTTTGGCCTATGCTAAATCCCTTGGAAAATTAGAAAAATTTGAAGCTAGATTTGATGCTTGTTTTTTCTTAGGATATCCAAACACACAAAAAGGATATATCCTTTATGACCTAAAAAATGACAACTTATTTGTGAATAGAGATGTTGTCTTTCTTGAAGATAAATTTTCTTTTTTAGCTAAAGATCAATTTGGTTTAGAGACAGATCAGGTACACATTCAGGATCCTTTCATTTTTGATTTGGACAATGTTCTTGGTTTCTTTTCCCATCCTGATATTTCCATACATGGCTATATTGATTCTGTTCCTAATAGTAATTCACATAACCTTCAAGAAAACATTAATGTTGATACTAGCAGACCTCATAGGATTAGAACATCACCTATTTGACTTAAAGATTATGACTGTTCTAGGTTGGAATTAGTTAATAAAATTGATAGTAAAGGAAACAAGAAAATTTTATATCCAATACAACATAGCATTAACCATGCTAATATATCACAATCACATATGAGATTTATAGAGTACAAATGAAGTAAGTAAACTAGACACATTTGAAGAAGCTATTAAAGATGAACATTGGATTAAAGCTATGCAAGATGAAGTAAGTGCATTAGAAAGAAATAAAATCTAGATAATAACAGATTTACCTCCTAAAAAGAAAGCAATAGGCTATAAATGGGTGTTTAAGAAAAAATTTAATGATGACGGAACCTAAATAAATTAAGACCTAGATTAATAACAAAGAGATTTAGTCAAATTGAAGGTATAGACTATTCTGAAACTTTTTCTTCTGTAGTCAAAATGAATACTGTGCATGCTGTTTTAGCTCTTGTTGCCAAATATAATTGGAATATGTTTCAAATGGATGTAAACAATGCCTTTTTACAAGGTGATTTACATGAGGAAGTTTATATGAAAATACCATTGGGGTTAAGTAAATAAGGGGAGAAGAAAGTATGTAAGTTGACTAAACCCTTGTACAGTTTAAAGCAAGCTACTAAACAGTGGAATTCTAAACTTTGTGAAGCTTTAATTGCTAGGGGTTTCACTCAAAGCAAATTTGATTATTCTTTATTCACTAAATAGCATGAAAATGATTTTATTGTTGTGCTTACTTATGTTGATAATCTTGTTATAACTGGTAATAGTCCTAAAGGTATAGAGGAGACTAAAAATTACTTGCACAGGAACTTCAAAATGAAGGATCTCGGTTTATTGAAATATTTTCTTGGAATTGAAATAGCCAAGTCATCTAAGGGTTTGATCCTTAATCAGAGGAAATATACTTTAGATTTAATTGCCACAATTGGAATGGGTGCTTCTAAACTGAGAAATATGCCTATGAATCTAGGACTAAAGATTTATAGTGTTCTTAAAAAGGGGGCAAGAGATGATGAGTTAAAAGACCCTACTTGATAAAGGCGCCTCATAGGAAAGTTGTTATGTTTAACTACAACCAAACTTAATATAAGCCATGATGTTCAAGTGTTAAGTCAATTTATGCAAAATCCTAGGAAGTCACACTGGAAAGCTGCTTTAAACACTGTAAAATATTTGAGAAAGGATCCAGGTAAAGGTATTTACTTTCCATCTTCAAGAGATATGAAACTTAAAGGTTATTGTGATTCTGATTGGGCTTCCTATCCAGAAACTCGTAGGTTCATAACAGGTTACTTGATTAAGATGGGAGGTGCTGTTATTGCTTGGAAATCCAAGAAGCAGTCCATAGTATCTCGATCATTAGTTGAAGCAAAATACCGAGCGTTAGGAGTATTGTTTTAGAAATTATTTGGCTGAATGATTTATTAAAAGATTTGCATGTTTCTAACTTAGTTCCAATTCCTATTTATTGTGATAGCAAGGTTGCGATTCAGACTGTATCAAATCTAGTCTATCATGAGCGAACTAAGCACCTTGAAATTGACTACCATTTCATGAGGGAAAAATTGAAAGATGGTTTAATTTACTTAAAGCATGTTGCATCAAGTGAACGGCAAGTCTCATGAACAATTTCTTTTCAAGTTGGGCACCTTAAATATTTTTAGGTCCAACTTGAGGGAGAGTGTTGAGAGTTGAGGTTTTATGGGCTTATATTGTGGGCTTGCGTGTCCAAATTTGGTTTAGGTGTAGTCTATATGTATATTTACTTAATTAGTAGTATAAACAGTGCGCTGTGCGTATATGGCCTTAGCGTGTGTGTATATGGCCTATGCCTTCAGATCTGGATGGATCGATCAATAAGAGTATTATTCAGTTTTGTTCTATTTTTCCACACGGTCCATGAAGTAGTAAGAGAAGGTCGATGAGGAAAACCTCACTAGACACACAGAGAGAACTCTCCTCACTCTAGCCTATATACATTCAGAGATCATGGATTTAAACATTCTGTTTGTGAAAATAAAAGATAAAAAAAATCCACTTCCTACTTACAAAAATATATCTACACACAATTTCACACTCATTGGTGCATAATGCTATATTTCACGTTACTAAAAATTTACATTTTCACGTCATTATATAAGATGAAGAAAAAATAAGCGTAATAGTAAAAACTAATTTTACAAATGTATTATTACAAATGTAGCTTCTGTTTTACAAATGTATTTTTCTATTGATTTAGATATTTCAAATTTTCCAATTTTTTATTTCAATTACCTTTTTCTTTTAGCAATAAGCAGTCTTACCTCATTAGATGAGGTTGGTTGTATAGATTATTGCTTTATCAACAATTAAATCTTTTGATATATCGTTTAAATTAAAAAGTTACTTTAGGTTTCTAAGTCAAATTTAAATAGTTAAAATTAAAATCTAAGCAATTGAAATTTTTTTGAAACATTACTCCTATATTTAAGGATATCATTGAATTAATTGGAAAATATTATTTGATGTGCTAGCATGCAAGCTGCAAATTCTTTGTAAATAAATTCATTTGATTATTTTTAATAGTTTCATTATTTTGAAGAATCACTCTTTTGGATGAAAGAATTTTCGTCATTTAGTGTTCATAGATTTGAATAAAGTCAAATTCAAATGTCGGTAACTTTTTCAACATTCTGTTTTCTTTTTATATGGTCTGAACCCTTAATATTACTTAAAAAATATTGAGTCCTTTTTACCTGATTCAAATTTGACACATCTCTTCTCAGTTTGATTCTTGAAATTATAAGAAAGCTAAGAAAACACAAATGGATAATATAATAGGATTAATTGCCCCTAAACTATAGGTGAAGAAATATCTAAGATCCTAAATTTAATTTTAATACAATATTTTTCTTTAACTTTTAAAAAGAGTACAATATTATCCATATGATTAAAAATGTTAATTTTGACACTTAATTAACTAAAAAATTATTTTCTTTAATTTTTTAAATCCTTATCATTAATTTTGAGTCATTTTCTGTAACTTTTTTATCTTTTATGCAATTTTTGAAATTATTTTTTATAATTTTTTAGTCAATCAACAATCAAAGTTAACTTTTATTAATAATAAGAATGACATTGCACTGTTCCAAATGTTCTTGGACCTACAGTGTATAGGTAAAATTGCCCTTTAATTTTAATATACAATATACACGTATTTATTGAATTATATTGTCAACGAAAGTCTTCAACTATACAACTACCTAGCAAAAGGAGAAGTGATGGAATCAGTATCCAAGGAATATGGCTCAGACGAACTATATAACTCACTATAAACCCGCCTTGGCACCATCTTAAATTTGTCACTGATAGAAGGAATCTCCATTTCCAAACACTGTTTCAGCTCCTGCACCACAAAATTCATGGTAGGTCTGTGAATGGAAGGTGTTGCACTACATGCCATTGCTACTCCTAAAGCTCTTTCCACAGAACCTGTACAAAATTTGCCTTCGAGTCTTGGATCCACAATTCTGCTAAAATCCCCACTTTCAAGCTCATATGTTACCCACGCAAGTATGTGAATCGATTCTTCACCTCTAATCACTGCTGGTTGACCTGTTATGAGCTCTATTATAACTACTCCAAAGCTAAAAATATCACTTTTCTCATTCAACTTCCGTAATTTGTAGTACCTGAACAAATGATTACATATCACTAAATACATTAATATCGATGCAAAACAATTTTTTTTTTTTTGGCAAGAATAACAACACAAAGCATTAAACTTTTAACAATATTCATAGGCCATGAATAGTAGAGCTGTCAACAAAGAATGGCTCAATCCTTATAGGCCCTCCTCTAAAGGGATCAAGTTCATAACCTAAAATCAGTACTTTTCTCAAATTTGACCCTTATTGGCAAGACTCAGAGCCAGGCTTGAAAACCCACATAATTTTAAAAAAAGAAGTTATGTGGGTTTTCAAGCTTGGCTCTGAGTCTTGCCAATAAGGGTCAAATTTGAGAAAAGTACTGATTTTAGGTTATGAACTTGATCCCTTTAGAGGAGGGCCTATAAGGAGTGAGCCATTCTTTGTTGACAGCTCTACTATTCATGGCCTATGAATATTGTTAAAAGTTTAATGCTTTGTGTTATTATTCTTGCCAAAAAAAAAACTTTGTTGAATCTTTGTTGAACAGCCAATGTAAAATTTTGTTGAATCTATCATGAACATGGACAATAGATGTTATAATGTTAATGCTAGGTCATTGCCCGTAAGTAACGCGCTGCATGGCTCGAGTACAGTGATAAGTGAGTTAGAGCCGCCCGGATGTAGTGTTAAATGAGCAAGGGCTACCGCGTCATTCTGGACGCACGCGGCTAAAGAAGTTAGTCCATGAGAGCAAAATTAGATTTGATACTTGGAATGTTGGGACATTGAATTGTAAATCTGTAGAGGTTGTCGGGGTTATGATTCAAAGGAAAATCAATATCCTTTGCCTGCAAGAAACAAAATGGCGTGGAGAAGAAGATAAGGATATTCAAAGTTTCAAATTTTGGTATACAGGAAAAGTAAGTGCACGCAATGGAGTAGGCATCATTATAGATAAGGAGTGGAAGAAGAACGTTGTAGAAGTTAGCAGAATTGGAGATAGAATTATTTCCTTAAAAATGATAATTGGACGTGAGACTGTTAATATTGTTACCTCAGTTTAGTTACAGATGATGAAATTAAAAATAGATGGGAGACTTACTTTTCTAAACTTTTTAATGATGGAGAGGGTTCATCTAGTAACTTAGAGGATTTTGTAACTGGTGAAGGAGAACAAAATTTGTCATTCTATCGAATAATACGTGATAAGGAGGTAAAGGAAGCTCTTAAGAAAATGGCAAATGGTAGAGCCAACGGACCTGATTGTTTATCTATCGAAGCGTGGAAATGTTTAGGTGAAGAAGGGGTGAGATGGTTAACTAAGTTATTTAATGTGATTTTACGGTCCAAGAAAATGCCTGATGAATGGAGGAGAAGTACATTAATTCCTATTTATAAAAATAAAGGAGATATTCAGAATTGTACTAACTATAGAGGGATTAAACTCATGAGCCACACAATGAAATTGTGGGAGAAAGTAATTGAGCATAGGTTGAGATTGGAGACAAGTATTTCTGAGAATCAGTTTGGTTTTATGCCAGGTAGATCAACTACAGAGGCGATTTATCTACTAAGGGGATTAATAGAAAAGTATCGTTGTAAAGATAAAGATCTACACATGGTTTTTATTGATTTGGAAAAAGCTTATGACCGTATACCAAGAGAAGTGCTTTGGAAAGCGTTAGAAAAAAAAGAGAGTACGGATTGCTTATATTAAAGCCATACAAGATATGTATGAGGGGGTAAAAACTAGTATAAGAACGCCTAGTGGTCAAACAAAGGATTTTCCTATAAAGATTGGACTACATCAGGGATCATCTCTGAGTCCTTATTTGTTCAACTTGATCTTAAATGTTTTGACGGAACATATTCAAGGGGAAATTCTGAAATGTATGCTTTTCGCGGATGATATAGTTCTTATAGCAGAGACAAGAGAAGAGGTTAATTGCAAACTTGAGTTATGGAGGAAGACATTGGAGTCGAAAGGTTTTCGTCTGAGTAGAAGTAAGACAGAATATTTATATTGTAAATTTGATAAAGGACTATTCAACAATAATTTGGAAGTGAAATTGGGAGATCAAATTATACCTCAAGTGGAAAAGTTTAGATATTTGAGAGCCGTTATTCAAAATGATGGCGAAATCAGTAGAGATATTTCACATAGAATTCAAGCTGGGTGGTTTAATTCAAGAAAAGCTAAAGGAGTTATTTGCGACCATAAGGTGCCTAATAAACTTAAAGGAAAGTTTTATCGCACTGCTATTAGACCGGTAATGTTATATAGTAGTGAATGCTAGGCTATAACGGGACAGCAAGAGCATAAAGTTGGAGTAGCAGAGATGAGAATGTTACGATGGATGTGCGGACATACACGTAAAGATAAAATTTGAAATGAGCATGTACGCGAAAAAGTGAGGGTGGCACCTATTGAGGAAAAAATGGTAGAAAATCGGTTAAGATGGTTTGGACATGTACAAAGAAGACTAAGGGAGGCACCAGTGAGAAGAGTGGAACATATAACTGAGTCCGATTAAGAGAAGTAGAGGAAGGCCTAAGAGAACACTTTTGGAAGTTATTGAACGCGATCTGTTAATTAATAATATTCCTAAAAGCTTGATAAATGATAAAGCACAATGGCGTCTTGCAATCCATGTAGCCGACCCCACCTAATGGGATAAAGGCTTGTTGTTGTTGTTGTTGTAGACTAATATGTATAAAACATTATTATCATTGATATTCATTCAAAAATAAAATATTGGACCGTTTAGAGGGAGTTCTACTTAGAGGAGGTAATGTTATTCAACAACCTTTCTACCTTCATCCTAAAATGGTTGCTTATCAAGCTAGGCCCTTATTGAAAGCTCTAGTGAATTGTACGCTCGTTCTTCAGACTTGTGGTCAAGATAGTAAGTACTTACTCTGGGTCAAGGTAGCCTGTGGTGCCCATGACTTCAGACTCCGCATTAATGTTATCATTCTTATAAACCGTGGAGAGGCCAAAATCAGCTATCTTAGCTTCCAAGTTTTCATTCAATAGAATGTTGGCTGTCTTCACATCTCTGTGTACTATAGGTGGCTTGCATCCATGGTGCAGATATTCCAATCCTGGAGATCAGAAGTACTTCAAATACGTCTATAAGATTGAAGTTGAAAGGCAGAAAACCAATATAATACTGACTACCTTGCGCTGCATCAATTGCTATCTCAAGTCTTCTTTGCCAAGACACGATATTTGAGTTTTTATCTGCATCAATGATATAATATTACTAATGAAGAAGCTCCCTTTGCTTAAAAGAATAAAGCAAAGGACAATTTAACTGATTCTGAGAAGAGAAGGGAAAGGGTGTACCTGAGAGATAATTTTTCAAGTTGCCATTGGCCATGTACTCATACATGAGTGCCATCTTGTTATCATCATCACAATAACCAATGAAGGATACCAAATTTCTGTGATGAACTGTCATCAACAGCTCAGCCTGCAAACCATTATATTTATTTTACTGCCTTTCTTTTTCTTTGTCTTTTTTTTTGGTGGTTAATTGTTTTGATGTTGAATGGTATGTACTTTCAATGACAGAAATGCAATAGTTACCTCAGTTTGAAATTCCTTTGGTCCCTGAGATGATGATGGAGAAAGCATTTTCACTGCAACTTGGTTTCCATCCTTCAACTCACCACGGTACACTATTCCGAATCCTCCTTTTCCAATTGCCATTTCAAAGTTGTTGGTGATTTCCAGAACCTCCGCGTAGCTATATTGCCACTGTTTTGAAGCTATAGTTCCTCCTTTGTTGGTCTTCTGTATTTCCTTATCTGAGTATGGTTCATGTAATAATATCATGAGATTAAGTGAAAGCGGGCTTTTGACTGCATCAAATTTGGAATTACCTGATGGTTTTTTCCTCCGAAGTTTCCAGATAAGAGCAAATGCAATCAAAAGAACTAGAACTGATGATATAGAAACGGCTATGGGAACAGCAATATTCTTTTTTTTGCAGGTACTTGAGCCACAAATATTTTGGTCATCCACACTGAAGATGGTAATTTCTGTTAGTTTCAAGAGAAATAAAACGAAAGTAAACTTGAAATAAGCTTCCCCAAGACAGTGCTCAAGCAAGCCAAACCTCAGTGCAAGCAATCCAGCTCTTGATCTTTCTAGAAGATTAGCAGGGACAGAGCCTGACAGATGATTGTCTTTCAAGTTCCTACACCAAAAGTATAACTGTTCTTTTAACATCTATCACCATGCAATATCATGACTATAATGCCAACTTGTATAGACTTACAGAACTTTAAGGGATTTGAAGTCTTCAAGAAACTGAGGCACTGATCCAGTTAAGCTATTGTTTGATAAATCCCTGACACAAAATAATGCGCTTCCAGTGATTTTATATTATCAACAAAACCTGTGCTAGTTAGGATTGGATAAATTCCTATATGCCAGACATGACTGTAATATAATCAGAATTTTTCTGAACAGGTACTCACAATGATTCGAGTGATAAGAGATTGGAAAATGCAGAAGCTATTACCCCACTTAAACTGCTTGAGCTCAAATTCCTATAAAAAAAATGATCTCTTCTAAAACTTCACCTTTATGCAATCACAACTCTCATATTGGGGAAATAAAAGCATGTATAAGAGTAAATCAAAGGAACTCACAGCGATATGATTCGTGGAGGAAGCGAGTTACTGTAGTTACATTCCAAGCCATCCCAATTGTACTCCTTAGGCTCACAAGGATCACCAACCCAATTTCTTTGAACTTCATATGCTCCTTTGATATTCGTGATAGCATCAACTGAGTTTACCAAGTATTCATGATTATTCGGTAAAGGATGCACTAAAGCATATTCTTTCCGCATGAAAAAATAAATAAATAAATAAATAAATAATAAAACATACCATCTTGCTCAAATGTTGGGATTGTATCTAGTTGTGTCACCACATAAATCTCAACTGCATTGAGGATGGGGGGTAAAGTTGAGTCTCCTGTTCTAGATATTGAAATTTGATGCTTATTTCCCACCAAAGATTTCGAATTCGATACAGTGGTTGTGAGTAAGTAGCTAGGGACTAAGGGTCCAAATAATGGAGATCCATTCCAGGATATATTGAATTTCCTCAGTTGCTTTTTCTGAAGTTTCTCAACTTCAGCAAAGTACAAATACACATAAAACTTAGAGCTTGGATCGTTCGGTGCCCAGGAGAATTCCAAAGTATCACTCTCATTCTTAGGTCTAGCAGCGGTTCTAATGACTTCAAATGGAGGTCTATAGCCACTGTTATTGACGTTGATGGCTGAAGAAGTTTCCAAAGTCTCCCAGGAAGATGAACTGGAAGGAGACCAAATTCTATCAAAAGCATCATCTTCATATCTACCAGTTCCATTGAGAGGTGCAATGTCCCATCTTTTGAAGAGTAAAAGTGAAGCAGCTGACCCAAACTCAGTAGTATATACAGAGCTAGTGATGATTGGCCTAAGTTCCAATGCTGAGATGAAAGGAGTTCCCAATCCTTTGTTTACAAGACAAACATTGATCTCCTCTGATATTTTCATGCTGATGATTTCCATCACGAGTTGCTCCGAAGCATTTCGGAATGTTACTGAGGACCAGAAATTGACATCAACATAGAGATCAAATTCTGGAAGCTTGTCTTCTCCATCGTAGTTCCCATACAAGAAAGAAGCCCTAATCAAATGTAAACTTTTTCTTATCGGAGTTTTTATGTTGTAACAATTCCTCTTACCCTCAGGAAAACTTCTGAGATCTGAAAGTGGTAATGGCAGATTCGGATTTTTTGGGTATGCATATTCAGAAGAAATGTTTCTGTTAATCCCACTGTTAATGTAAGCTCCATCTGTGTTGTACTTAATCTTAGTGCTATCATCCGTATATTCAAAATTCACTGGACCTCCACAATCAATGCTTACGAAACCTGACCAGACGAACCATTCAGGCTCAGAAAAACAAGTTGTTTACTGTTTAAAGCACAAATTAATATAAGATTCGTAAAACCAAATTGCTTTCACGCGAAGCTTCGACGGTAATAATAAACAAAGGGCAGAGTGCGGTTACAATTTTAAGGGAAATCAAAGCATAGCTTAAATTCAAAACATGGGACAAAAATTCAATCTCAATTGCAGATTGCGTCTCTTACAGCAAATGCTAACCTGTTTGTTGCTGTCCATGAACTAAGATTGTAAGACCAAGATTGAGCATAAGGCAGGCGAAGAGTCTAGTTGAAATTTTCATCTCCACACAACAACGAGTTGGAGCATCACGCTGGTGAATCAAAAAAAGATACAGCCATGAGACTTTATTGTCAAATCCAGGCCGCGCTGGAGAAAAGTCAAAAACTCATAAAGTAGAGTTTGAGTACCTTGGCGTGACAAAATTATGTCCTTACATGGACATCAGGGGACTGTTTTTTTTTTTTTTTTTAAAATATAATTTTTAATTCTTACAATTTATTCATGTTTTATAAATTCATGCATATTTTTTTTATATTTTAAATTTTTAAATTTTTTTATATTTTTAAATGAATAAAATGTAGAGATTATAAAAAAAATTTAAAATATTAAAAAATAAAAGTATAAGAACTTAAAATATTTTAAAAAAATATAAAAATTTATAATAAAATATAAATAAAGTGTAAAAATTAAATAATTATGTTTTTTTATTTATATTTAGAAATTTCAAATTACAGACCAACATCGACCACATATTGTGCATGGGCCCCTTGCCATCAACATGAAATTAGAAATTATATAAACCTGATAGATGTCTGAATTTATAAAGCACACGTAATGGGTGAAGACAATGTTTTAAAAACCGCTTGGGATGACAAACCAAAAGGGTCAGAGCCTCTGGATAGCTTTTATCGGATGTCCTCGAATCAAATAAGTGACATGATAATTAAATAAAAAAAATATTTTATTTATCTCAATTTATTTAACGTTTTAAAATATAAAGTATTTTAATAAAAATAAAATTTATTAATAATATTTTTTTAATATTACCTTCTTAATACACTCTCTATTGTTAATATTATTTTAAATGAAGGATATTTTTATATGTTTTATATTTTTATTTTAAAAAAATAAAATTGTAAAATATATTTAATAAATCTTATTAATATGTATAACTTTGTTTAAAAGTTTTTTTATAAATTGGAACAAAGGGAGTAATATTTATATGTATATATAAATAAAACATAAAAAATATTAACAATATCATTTTTAATTTAGAGTTGTTCAATTATAATATATTAAGCTTTTACTGTCATATTTTTTCGTATGTATATTATTTATTTTTCTTATTTATCTTTTAAAGCAAATAAATTTACAATTGTCTTTACAGTTTAATACATATAACATAAATAAACAAATTATGCACTCACAATTTTACTATAACAACCCAAAAAAAGGTTAACGTTGATATTTTTAAATTGAATAAAAAAATTATTACTAAATTAAGAGTAAAAAGAAAAAAAAAGAGGGCGGTTTCAAATGGTCCAACTCTTTCAGTTTTCAAGTTAATTTCAATTCTATCAAAATTTTCTAGATTAAAACAATCTAATCCCCAAAACATGTTAATGAGTCAAAACAAGCTGCTCTTATACCTGCATGGTGGTCTAACCAATCTGATCATCTAAGTTAGTCCTATTGCTCCATCACACTAACATGAAATTTTTAATATTTGGGTAAGATAATAGTGACTGGAATTGAAGAAAATTATATGCATTTTCTGCTATAGGTATACTGCCTTCATTTTATTGTCTTTGCTTTTTAAGATTATTATACACTGATTAATAAATGTAATAAATATGTAAAGTAAAAATATGACATATTTTACCAAATTTGCTACTCGTTTAACGCCTCAAAAACATTATTATAATAATAAAAATAAATGAGCAAATTAATCCCTAGACTTAGGTAAAATAACACTACAGACTTTGAACATGTTTGTTATGTACATTGTTCCGTCAACTTTTAAAAATAGTGCAATATATCCCCTGCTATTAATAAAAATTAACTTTAACCGTTAATTAATTAAAAAATAACAAAAAATAGCTTAAAAAATTATAGAATATGATAAAAAAAAGTTATAATAAAAAACCCCAACATTACATAAAAGGGCCAAATGTGGTTATTTTTTAATTTTTAATATTATTTTTTGTCATTTTTTATCAATTAATAGTCATAGTTAACTTTTGTTAACGGTAAAAATTAAATTGTATCTTTTTTAAAAGATGAGAAAACAATTTGTACAATAAATAAGTTTGAAATCTATGGTGTTACTTGACTTAAAATTTTAGAGAGTAATTTTTTTTATTTATCCTAATAATAAATAAAAAATTATTCTAAAGATAAAACAGGAAAAATATTATTAAACATTGCTTTGAATTTCTGAAAATACATATAACATGAAACAAAATTTTTCTCCTCAAAAGACAAATATAATAAAATGGAGGGAGAATTTTCAAGTTAGCTGTGTTGTTTAAAGTTTATAGATAGTAAAGTTTGGTATAAACTTTACATATGTTCATATTGATATTGATTAGGAAAAAGGCATGGAAATCAACTGAAAAGTAGGGGAATAGTAAAATTATTGATTTATTAGCAGCAAGTTGGCATGGTGGATTGAGGAAGTGCTATTCTAGTCAACTTTCTGCGCACAAGGTTTTTCATTGAAAAAAAAAAAAACGTGAATTTTATAAAATAGTTATCCTGATACCTCCAGGAAGGAGAATTTGGTAGCAGATTGGATTGCTGATCCCGGGGCTGGTAATTGGGGCTTAACATGATCAACTAACTCAAATAAACTTATAAAATTTTAAAATCAGGCTTAAAAGTTTAGGAAAAGTTCTTTATCTTGGACTTATTCAAATACTTGAATAAGTTCAAAAAACTATGGATCAAGCCAAACTCGAGTGAGTTTAGCTTAAATAGTAGATTTTTTTATTATTAATAAAACAAAATTAATATGAGATAAAAAAATATATTAATTTTTTAAGATAAAAATTGAAATTAACTAAAAATAATAACTACCAATTTGGGTATTCAAGTGAGCCTGAATAAACTCAAAAACTTAAGGTGTTTGGGTTAGACTTGGTTATATGAATATTTTTTTTTATTTGTTCAAGTATTTTAATTAGTTTGGCTCAAATAAGCTCAACTCATCTAGATTACCAGATCTATTTATTTCTTTAAAAAGGAGATGTGTCCAATTGGATAGGTGGGGCACTGATTTAAAGGTACTAAAAATTAGATCGGTTATTGAACAAGTCAATACACTGATTCAAGTATTAATGATCAAAATTGTAATCAAATCATTATTAAACATTCATAACCAGTCAAGATATTGGTATAATGGTTTACTAGTTTCATCAACTGGGTCTAAATTTCCATTTTACGCCAAAATCCTTCTGGCTCGGATTATTGATGAAGATGCCAAGAATATTGTGCCAACTCCAAGATGAGCTGTTGATATGTATCACTAAGAAATGGCATATATTTGTTGAATTCTCCAGGCTTTCTTTTTCTTTTTGTAAGATGGTTGTTGTTGCCGTTTAGTCCCTTTTCTTTGTTTCTTACCGATTGATTATTTCTTTTGCTTATCTGTTGCCTTTTGCTTTCGCATTTTTTGTTTGGTGAGTTGTTTTGGTGCATTAGGTTAGTAAACTTTAGGTTTTTTTTTTTTTAGTAAGTTTTGCTTTGTTCAGTTGTTAGTGTGTATATTACGATTTTTGATATTAATAAAAATGACTTGTTTCTAAAATAAAAAGGCTTTTTTTTACCCAAAAATATATTAATAAAAATTATATTTTATTTTTATTTATTTCACCTTTTATTTTATAAATATTTTGGCTTCTTCTATGCCACCGGTTGAAAAGCAAAAAACTTGAGTTATGGGTGCAGGATAACTTAATTTAAAAATTATTAATAATTTAAAAAATACAATAGACCCAAAAGGGTAATAATAATATAAGTATAATGAGCTTTTTTCTTTAAAAAATTATATTGGTCATGTTGATATGATTTTTTGTCTTATCCCAATCATTATAGTCATATGATAAAATTTTAACTATGTTTCTCGCATTCGATGGGAAAATATTTTAATTCGATTTTAGTTTGTTGTTGTTGTAACATTCCAAAATTTAAATTCTGAATTAAATGAGTTAATAAGAGGTATATAAGTAAATTTAAGTGTAAATTAATTTGAGCATACTTAGAGACAACTAATGAGCATATTAAATTTGTTGATAATCTTCAAATTAGGTTAGGTAGTGATATGGGCCACCTAGACCCAAAAAGAGAACCAAAATTGGCTTGGTGTCTTTGTCCTATCCATAACAGTGGATAGTCAAAAGTTAAAATTAGATGACGTACACGGGAGCCCAAACCAGAAGAATAAATGAGGAAGAAAAGGAAGAGCTCAAGATTTTCTTTGCTAGGGCATGAATCCTATGAGTCTTGGGGAAGATTTAGAGCTTCCAATTACTTTGGGTAAGTTTCTTCTACTTTCATCCTCCTCTCTAGCTAGATTTTTAAGTTAGGGTTTGTAATGGGGATGATTTTTAAATCTTAAGGCATAGGTTCAAAGCTGTTGGTTTAGATAGAACTAATAGGAGTTGTTTAAGGTTTCTATACTTAAGTTTAAGGTTTCTATAAGGTTATAAGATTGTATCTTGGGTTTTAGATGAACCCTGGGCTATAAAATGGTGATTTTGAATTGTTAGGGATTATAAATGTTGATGTTTAAGTAATGGAAGCTAAATAAAGTTAGAGAATGATGATTTACACCTTAGGTGTAAGAAAATATAGGATAAGGGAACTTGAGTTTGGTTAGAGTTGATTTAGATAGCTAGAAAATAAGGAATGTGATGTTAATAATTGATATCAATAGATGTGATTTGTGTAGACAATTGTCGTTGATCACTGTTTGAGCTCAAAGGTTGGCTTAGGAAGCAAGATTGAGGGGTAAACCTTTGGGTAACTCAAAGGTTTAAAGTAATTAAGGAAAATTTATTTTGTGCATTATTTCTCATTTAAATGATTATGGGTTTTGTGAACTTGTGAATATACTTTTGTTTTTATATTGATATGTTTTATAGTTTAGAAAATTATGCAAGTGTGCTTAATTGTGAATTTAAGTAAAGTTTGATTAATGAAAATGAACATTTAAGTATTGTGATTTGAAATGTGATATAGAGACTCTCAAATGTAATGGTGAGCATTGAAGTAATTGCTAGAAATTGTTACTATGCACGTTATTATTTAATGAATTTCTCTTTTATTATCATATCAATTGCATGTTCACTATGA